TGGTTTTTTGTTTGTCTTAGTTGTGTACTGGAAACCAAACCCAGGGCCTTATGTGTGCACCAAGTACTCCAACATTGAACTACAATCTCAGTTCACTTGTAATTATTTATCAGGTTTTACTACCCTAAAAAGCAAACCCAACAATCTCTTTGTGAGAGATTGTTTTGAGAAAGTGCATTTAGTTTAGTTGAAACTCAAAACTAATCTTGTAAAATGTTGCCTTAATGTTATCTTGAAGATTAATTTCATTTTTCAAATAATAGCTTTGAAGTACCATTGAACACTGTTCTTCATTTCTTTTCATATTATAGTTAAACATTTTCAATGTGTTGATACATTAAATGGTAGCTCTTTCATTTATCTAGTCAATATATATGTGAGGGGCTTGCAGTAGTATCTAGCTTTATGCATGTGAATAACTCTCTGTGTGCTTGGATGAATGGTTCCAGGACATCCTGTGTATAACAAGATGCATAGATGCTCAAGTTGCTTGTATAAAATGTCATAGCATTTGTAGATAACAACATAGAGCTTCACATACACTTGAAAATTTTAGATTACTTATATACTTAATGCAGTCTAACCATTGTACACATAGTTATGAAACTGTTATTTAGGTTGTAATGACAAGAATGTACATCTACATGCCTTGTCTTTTGCCTTGTTTTATTTTGTTTGTGGTACTAAGATTGAACCCAGAGCTTCACACTTGCTGTGCAAGTGTTATAACACTTTAACTGAGCTTCTAGTCCTTTGTTTTGTTTTGTTGTTAATTTTGATTTTGATTTGATTTTTTAATAGGCTTTCACTAACTTTATTTGGGCTGCCCTGACGTTGTGATCCTCTTGACTCTACCTTCTGAGTAACTAGGATTACAGATGCTTGATACCATGCCCAGTGGATTCTTCTGTTTTTTTTTTCTTTTTGTGTGTGTGATTATTTTTCTACTGTTTTCAGTTCACCATTAGTTTAATCACAGAGGACCAACTGTATATGTTTATATATACACATGTCTTTGTGCGTACTTTATTATAAAATGGTATAATTAAATAATACTTGTTATATTGTATACTCATGTAGTCATTTCTGTGCTCCTTTTATTATTGTGTATCTCTCTTTCTGGGCTATGAACTATCATTATGGTTAGGGGCTATCTAGTCTTGTTTATTCACTTTCTTGTCTGCCTTACATATAGGCATTTAATAGTTATTGTAGTAAACAGTGATGAATGATTGTTAAGCAAATGAGGCTTTTAGAGTAATGTTGATGAAGCTAGAGAATGAAAACATTTAAGAAATAAACCTATGAATTAAGATTTTCAATAATAACTGCAATTTTAGAGTTTTGGGGGGGATAGTAAATCTGTTGTTCTTAAATTTATCTATTCTCCTCTTGGTAATGGTAATGCAATGACAATAAAATAGTGTTTTCTTATAACAACAAAATGGTTGTCCAGCTTACTGGTAGAATAGGTTAAAAATGGAATAATGATGTAGAAAAAAATCTAGAAGATTATAGTATTTGGAAGGTTATATCTATATAATCATTAGAAATATATAAGCCAATAAAATACCAATAAAATCTCAAAAGTAAATTGGAGCTAACCATTCAGTCTGAAGTAAAGATGGAATTTCAGAAATTATGTATGACATAGACTATTCAATTTATTCAATCAATAGATTGAATTTATTTAAGAAAGGGAGACTATTCAGTAAACTTAAAATTAATCTTTGGAGAAAATACAAACATTGTTCAAAGCAAAATTAAACTTCTACCAGGTAAAAAATGGGGAAACTATATTCTTTTTTCTCAACATGAATGAAGTTTTTCAGGCATGAAAAAAATCATGAAATTATTCATTGACTATTCATGAGTATAAATATAGTATGATATAAAATATCAAAGTTAATGATGAATGTTTAACATGGGAAATCGTTTGTACCCAAAATGACAAAGAAAATCTCTTACTGGTAAAGAACTGATACAAATGATTAAGGAAAGTTAAATATTACACTGTGACAAAATGTACAACTCATTAGGTAAGAATTGCCAAAAAATATTTTTTCCATCTCAAAATGACTACGTTTTTTCTGTGAAGTAGGAGAAGATTATTTTAAGCACTACCAGTGCTATGAGAATGGTGAGATGGTGAATTGTCTGTTCTACAGATGTCTCACCCAGACACTCGAATTTTAGAAGTTTATTCTACAGAATTTGTCACAATAGGCAAAAAGATAACTACACAGATATTTACAGAAATTTTAACTTCTTTCTTTTGGTATTTTGGATACCTTGTCTACATTCATTCTTCTGTTTTTGCTTTTCTGTAGTTTTCTACATTAAGTAGCTGTATAACTTAAGTGATGTTTTTAAAGTTTGATTTCACCTTTTGGGGGGTGACTTCCATGTTATTTTGAGAAGCATTGATTTTAAAAGGTTTTAATGAAACTATTGGGTCACCTTAAAAGATTAATGTGTTGTGTAGAAGTTTGTTCTAAATCACTAGTAAATTGTCAATGGATTATAAGGTGGCTTAGAGGAGGGATGGATGAGAATGTTGAAATGGGTGACATTGTTCAAGATGCAGTATATTCATAAACTGCTTTGTTAAGTGGCAATTCCTTTGTACAAGTACTTAAAATTAAAATTGTAAAATTAATAAAAGAAATGGAAAGACTTGGGAAAAATTATATTACACGAAGTAAGCCAGACCCAAAGAAACATAGGTCCCATAATTTCTCTTATTTGTAATAACTAGTATAAGTCTAGGACAAGCAGAAAAGATCAAAAGCATATGACCATAAAAGATGAGGTTAAGTGAAATGAACCCGAAGATAGGGACACAAATGGTTTCTTCTTTCTTGCTATTGTTTTTAACATATCTAAAATGTACTATGTGGTTTTTGTTTGTTTGTTTCTTTGTATGTTCTTCCCCCAAGGTATAACATAATCCCTGTTTTCACTGTATGTGATGTTGGTGCCCTGCATCTTGTATATACATTTTTCTAATTTGGGGATGAGAAGGGAAATAATAAATTGCTGACCCAAGGATACAGGTTGACCTATTATAACAATGAGATGTTTAAGATACTATGTTGAAAAGGAACTTTACAACTTGGTGGACTGAGGGGGGAGTTGAGGTGGGGAGGGAAGGGATGTGGGGGAAAAACAAAGGAGGAGGTAACAATGCTCGATAGGAAATGTACTCATTACCTTATTCTTGAAACTGTAACCCCTCTGTACACTATTTTTACAATTAAAAATCATAAAAAAATGTTAGTAAAATAGTCTTTCAAGGTTACTGTTAAAAATGAAATGTAATGTTTTCTCTCATATTATCTTTATGTTAACAACTGGCTTCCTAAGACTAATACAGCAGACTAGAATGTCCAGAGAGCTGTGTGAGTCTTTTCTTCAACATAGAGGAAACCTCTATTTCTACCAGCAAAAAGCTTCTCTCCACTTGGCTCCTATATTTTAGTTTTATTTCATCAAAAGGTGGTATTTTCTCTTGTCTTTTAATAAAAAGTAACCTTTGTTATTCAGCCAAGGCAAAGTGGTAATTTTCTCACTTTAAGAAGCAGGGTGCTTTGGGCTTACTTCTATAATCCTAGCTACTCAAGAGGCTGTGATCTAAGGATTGTTGTTTGAAGCCAGCCAGGGCAGAAAACTTTATGAGATTTTCATCTCCAAATAACCACCAGAAAGCCAGAAGCAGAGCTATAGCTCAAGTGGTAGAACTCAAGCCTTGTGTCAAGAACATGAGGCCCCTAGTTCAATCTCTAGTTTTGGCCTAAAAAGGGGGGAAGAAAAAGCAGATGAGAATATACTTGACTTGCTAAAAATGTGACTTTTTATATTTAAGGGGGAAAACTAAATCTACAAGACCAATCATTAACATATAATTTTGGTTTTTGTTTTGTTGTGCTTTTTGCCAGTCCCGGGGCTTGAACTTAGGGCCTGAGCACTGCCCCTGTGCTTATTTTGCTCAAGGCTAGCTCTCTACTTGAGCCACAGCACCATTTCTGGATTTTTCTGTTTATGTGGTATTGAGGAATTGAACCCAGGGCTTCATGCGTGTTAGGCAAGCACTCTACCACTGAGCCATATTCTCAGCCCCTAACATGTAATATTTTATGTCTCCACAAAATATATAAACAATGGACTTTTAGAATAACTTTGTAAAAGAGAACTTGGTAACTAATATCCTTTTTTTTCCTATGCCTGTTTGTAAATCTATAATTAACCCCAATATAAAGGAGAATATTTTATTGATTAACTCATTGAATACATAAAAAAGCATTTTTATACTTCAAGTCGTGAAGAAAAATACATTTGTTTTCTGATAAACATGCTGAAATTTTTATCATAAAACTGTTTTCTATTACATCTACTAAAGGTTGTTGCTTTTATTATCCAGCATTCCTAGCTAGCTGACTTCAGCTCTTCCTAAATCTACAGACATCCTAATTTTGAGCCATTATATAATGAAAACATTGGATGCAATTTCCTTAGGTCTACAGTTCTTACTTGCCCTTGCTGCCTGATATTTATACTGTAGCTCATGATTATAATTTGCATAAATGAAATTCATATTTATGAGTAGAGATCTTGAAGCAAGTGACAGGTGCAACGTTTTCTAACATGCCAAATTATTGTCATTTCATTTAAAAGAAAACTATTCTCCATGTTTTAAAGAATATGTGTAGTGGTCGGATTGGAATCAAATTCTAAAAGTAGATAAAACCTTATTTTTGTTTTGTATTTTTATGGCATTCTATGTAAAATGGACATCTTGGGAGCAAGCATTTGTTGAACAAGCAGTAGCAGATTAGGGTTGTGACTTAGTAATAAAAGAATTGCCTGCCATGTAGGAGGCCTGGCAATCCCCAGTACCACACTAAAAGAAAAAAAGGAAAGAAAAGAAATAGAAAGCATTTATATGAATTTATACTGTCAGTATCCTTGCCTTGATTATTTCCCTTGATCTTGTGTTTCAGGGTATGCATGAGCTCTTAGCACCTATAGTCTTTATTCTTCACTGTGACCACCAAGCTTTTCTACATGCCAGTGAGTCTGCACAGCCCAGGCAAGTTTTTATGAATTCAATCTTTTTTCTTACCCTTACTGTCACTTTTTTTTGGTAATCTCAAAATTGTTTCAAATAGAAGATGCTTCTTTCCTGAGTAGTGGACATTTGGCTGTTTCAAGAGGATAACTGTTAGTTCCATCTCATTGTTCTGCTGCCAGTTTCATTCATCAATGTCTTGGAAAATGTTCGGTCTCTGTCCAAGGAAGACATCTAATTATTAATCAAAAAAGCAATATTTAAGCCAGCAACAAAAATTTTAATGATTCTTCCTGGTCATTTATACTATCCTCTAATGACTCAGATTTCTGAGATACTTTCTCCTAGCCAGCTTTCATTTTTCTTGGTTCATAAGTACAGGAGCTAAGTAAGTTACCTAGAACCTGGGCATAACGCAAGACCCTATCTCAAAAATAGGACAGGAAGGGCTGCAAGTGTGGCTCAAACAACCTGCCTAGTAAGAATTGAAACCCCAGTACCATTAAAATAAAAGAAGACTTCTTTTAACATTGCATATTTAGTCAGTAAATTTGTGTTTGTTATTTGGTTTTAGAGAATAAGTAATATACAGTGGAGTAGTAACTTGTTTAACTGTATTGTTACATACTATATTTGTTATTTGAAATAAATAGTTAATTCCCTGTAGCACAGATAAGGAAGCTAATTTGTTGTTGATCTTTTAAAAATTTATTTATATATTCATTTTTGTTTTCTGAATTTCCAAAGTGGTGTTGAACTTTACCATAGAAGGAATTTCATTGTTAATTGTAGTGATGTTTCAAAAAGCAGTTTTACATTATATAAAAAGTCAGCTTAAGAATGTAGAATAAGGCATACTATCCACTTGGATTATAAAAAAATTTATTTTAATTAACACATTTTAATTGTTTTTATTACTTTTTATTACTTAAGTGAGGAAATGAAAACGCTCTTGAATCCAGAGTATCTGGAACATGATGCCTAGTAAGTACAAAATTCAATATTTTTTCATTCTTATCCCATCATCCTTTAATGACAATTATACATAGCATTATTTTATTTTTTAAATTTTAGTGCAATGTTCTCACAGCTTATGGAAACTGCTGAGCCTTGGTTTTCTACTTTTGAACATGATGGTCAAAAGGTAAATTCCACAGTATAAATGTTTACAATATATTTGAATGGTCAAATCTTTTCTGTGTATAAAATAAATAATACTTTCATAGACATTTCATTGCAATACAGAATATTCAACCAGTCTTGCTATAAGAAAATACAAATATCTTGTAGACTAGGATTGAACAATAATGTAACAATAATGTAACAATAATGACAGATACACAAAAGCAATATAATTATTTCATATGAATAAACTTTTTATATGTTTATATTATTCATGCAGTTTGTTATTTTATTATGTAAGTTATTATAAACTTTTTATTGTTATACTAGTTCCATTTATTCATACTGTTAATGAAGTATATAGATAAAATGTGTATCAGAGATTAGAATCAATATCCCTTTCCCTTTTGCTTATTTTTACTCATATACCATGACATTCACATTGGTTTTGGTTTTTGTTTTTTTGACATTCACATTGTTATAGTGTACATTTTAGAGTTTTTGTAAGGTTTTACAAATGAGGCACTGTGTGTGATTGAAATCATTCAGGGATGCCAAATTAGTAGAGAATAAAACTATTATAAAATGGCTTTTAAAGAATCAGAAAAAAAACTACTATACAGCTAAACTGAGAATTCATAACCTGAAAATCATGAAAGGGTGTTGTATGTAAATGATAATAATGCTGAAGTTCAAATTGTCAGAAGAGAAATCAAACAGTCTCTTAGGGAAAATCATCAGAATGAATGATTAAATGATAAACTTCAAATGAAAATTTGAAGCATTAAAATGACTTAATGATTTATCTCTCAGTAGATAGCAGGAAAGGGAAGTTTGGTTAGAGCTAACTATTTTTAAATATGCTGTTCATTTGGTCCATAGAGTTTTAAATTCTTTTCAGCTATTTACATCATAAAAGGACAATTAGAGAATATCTTATTTTCTAGTAGTGATTTTCTTAATATTCCTTCCCTTTTTGTAAAGTTTTGAAAGCTCAGTGTTTTTGTTTATTGTTTTGCATGCTTAATTTTCTGCCACAAGAAAGTTTTCATCAAACTGTCCCATTTATATACTGTGGCTGCTTATATAAACTGGCCATGACAGCTTGTAGTGGTCTCTACCTCTTCTAATAAAAAAAATCCAACTTTGTAATACATAATGTCACTAGACAAAATGTCATGAAAATGTAAGTTAAACATATTTTAGACCACATTTCCTAGACATTGCTTTATGACTAGTCACTGATATTTCAGCATATTATTCCAAAGCATTTACGATGAAGCAATTAAAGTAGTTTTTATTCTTGTTTAAATTCCTTTTTATAAAATATTGGACTGATGTCCATGTATTTGTCAATTTCATATTAAACTAATACTTGTTCCATTTTTCCTGTTGATAGGGCAAAGAAACTCTGATGACCCCAATTCCTTTTGCTAGACCACAGGATTTAGGGCCAACAATAGCTGTGGTTACTAAAGTCAACCAGATTCAGGATCATCTACTGAAGAAGCATGATATTGAGCTCTATATGCATTTGAACAGACTAGAAATTGCACCACAGATTTATGGGTTGTAAGTATAAAAATTTCTGTTTTAACTATACCTAAGTACCATGTGTGGTAGTTTCTTTGTGTCCAGATCCCTATAACTAAGAGTTAAGAACTCTTCTAGCACCATTCCATTTCAATTTTTTTGTAGTGTTGTGTGCCCAGTTCTAGTATTCTATTACTTTCATATATGTCATCTTATCTAATATTTACATCAACCTTGTAAATTGGGTACTATTCTTTGTTATAGCTGGAAAACTAAGACTTGGATTAACTATGCATACTAAGCAGAGAAGTTTATAACTAAAACTGAGGCATAATTGGCTGAATAATTTACTGCAGAACCCAGTACAAAAGAAAGAATAAAGGCCTGGTTTGAAAAAATTTCAAGATGGCAAAGAGCTGTCTTGAAAGATAAACTAAGTATTCTAAGGAAATACAGTTATACATCTCATATACAAATAAAGAAAGCCCCCCAACTTAAGTAATCATATAAAATGGATGTGTGCTTTCATTTTTTTCATGTCACTTAGTGAACATAGTGTATTCAGTTTCTTCAGCCAAAGAATTTCTGTACCTAGCAGAAGAATAGGAAGCTAGTCACTCATTAAATATGTATATATCCATCTGTGTGTATGTATGTGTGTATGTATGCCTGTTCATATTTTTCAATGCCTTGAAAGATACATATGCAAACTAGAAAAAGAGATTTTAATTAGAATTAATTTTTATATAATATATAACAAAAGGTTTATTATATTGAAATAGAATTTTTATGTGTACTGCTGAGCAGTTATTGGGTAGAATATATGAAAGTAAGATTATATTATTGATATACACTTAGAAGATGCTCAATAAAATATACACTTATTATTTGAATTATGAAAGACCTTGAGTATTTCCAAAGTTAGAACCAAAGAAGTGATTCTGTGTTTTTGTTTTTCCATATTACACAGTCTTTTACTGATAATAACTAAGTTGTTATTCTCTGGAAACCCTGAACTATGATTGAAGAAATCTAGGTTTTTTATTTTTAAAATTTTTTTATTGTTTAATGTAAAGATGAGGAATGGGGGAGGTGGGGGTTACAGTTACATCAGTAAGGTAATGAGTGCATTGGTTTTTGAACACTGTTACTCCCTCATTTTCTCACACTTACCCCTCCCTGATCCCCTCCCCCCCCAAGTTGTAAAGTTCATTTCCAATATAGTGTCTAGTGAGTATCTTTGTTGCATTAGTTCATCCATTTTTTGTTTTAATACTGATTGCAGTTTTTTTTCCTGTGAATTAATCTTGATCGCATCATTGAGAACAGCTCTATTGTTAACCACTAGAAATGAAAATGTTACATGTGACATGGATATTGGGCAGATTATTAATTTAAACTAGTAAGTCAATTAATAACACATTTGTAGCATAAAAAATTCTGTTAAAACAATAGTGATAAAGTTAGCATTTATATTCTCTATTCCTCTTCACTGTGTACTATGTTCAAATATATAAGCACCTTAAACCCTTATAACACATTGTTTGCTAAATATGAAGCTGGTCTTTAGCACTGAGGAAGGAAGTTGGTATCGTATATGTTTATCATTTTTCTTAAAATGCCTTACAGTGTTTTTCCTTTTTGTCTGCATTGGTGCTTTACATTGTGATGGTGATGGCAAGGGCCTACAAACAGTAATTTGTAAGTAGGGTGTTTTAGTTTTCTTTACCATATCAGATACTGATTTTCTTCAGTTTTATATTCTTCAAGTCAGTTTATAGAACTTCTTGACATCCTGAGTAGTAATTCCATGATACATGGTATACACTCAATCCCTCCCACCTTATAAAAATTTCCTAACAAAATTATGACTTGTACTAACCATAGCTGCCTTATTTGACCCAATAATTTGTATACAATATCATCTTCATTCTGTCACTTGCTCTTCTCCCCTCTCCTTTTGAAATTGAGATGGGGTTTTGCTCTATGCTGCAGACTATGCTGCTTCTATGCTCTATGCTGCATACTATGCTGCAGACTATGCTGCTTCAACATCTAAATCTCCTGCCTCAGCCTCGCAAATGCTCGGATTAGAGTTTGCACCACCTTTTCAGCTAACTTATGTTTAAATTATGTAATGTGTACGTTAAAAAAGAGATTATTCATGTTTCCTGTTTGCTTGTTTTACATTTTATATTGTAGGAATGTTTTCCATACCACTTTTGCTTTTGTGAGGGGCAGTACTGGTTTTTGAACTGAGAATCTTGTGCTTGCTAAGTAAGTTTTAGATACACCTGAGCCATGCTACCAGTCCTCTCATTTCACTTTTACTTTTTTTTTTTTATTATTTATGAAGGACATGAAAATCTATGCTTGAGTAATATTGTGCCCTTGTCATAAGATATACTACCCATCTATATACTTCTTATTGATGATTAAGCAGAAATATTTTGAGGGTAAAAATATTTTTTTTTAATTTTGAGGTATTTTCACTAATTTCTATTTGAGGTTACACCAAACTAAGTTGCAGGTAAAAGTACAGTGTGTTATAAAATAATATACTTGGAAAGTAAACAGTGCTATACTTTTCATTAACTTTATAGAAAATTACTTATGTTGCATTTAGAATTATGTTTCTCTTACTATAATTCAAGTAGTTAATATCGTAATTATTTTTTAATAATTATGCTTGCCAATTATTGATTTGTATTGGGCTTCTTTAAAAATTAAGTTTTCTAAGAACTTGTCAGAATACACTAATTTCCAATGTAAAACATTAACTGCATTATTGCTAGTTAGCTTATAAATAACTTTTAGGTTATTTTTGTAGGATTTTTTAATGTGCATAAAGTCCTATGATTTCATTATTTAGTTATGATTCTGTAGAAATATCTTACATATTTATGTTTCAGCTCTGTCACTGTTCACATATGGTGTGAGTCCAAAAAATGCTTAATCAGAGCAGATTCATGTAAACATTCTGTAATTTTTCACTTGATGCTTTTCAGTATTCCTTTATAATGAGACCAAAATTCTTACTATCACTTTAAATATATATAATCTGTAAAATTTTTGACTACATTTTACACTTTGATATAAATAGAGTTCCTATTAAGCATCAGTGGGACATGCAATTAATGTCACTTTTGAGGTAAGACCTTCATAACATACTTGGGCTGTGGCACACTTAAATTATGAGCTCTTTACAACACTCCTGGGCTAAATTCCATATTCCCAAAATGCTTATTATACATCTTTCTTGTCTATTTCCTATTTTCTGGGTTAGAATTTGTGTTGCTGTGGGGTTCATAGTAATTTAATTGGGGGACACCTTGATTATTGATAAACCTGCTAAAATTTGCAATACAATTTACAAGTATTAGTATCATAGTGTATCCATTTTAGCACAGTGTAATTAACAGGTGAGTACAAAGTTTTTTAAAGCTACTTTTTACATATAAAGATTAAAAATATTATTCTTAGTCATCAAAAGTTGAGTTTAATTATTCACCTTCAAATTATCTCTCTAGTTAAAGTGGTAAAATAAGTGATATCAGAAAAGAATAAAAGCACTTTAAGACTAACAGTAGGTGGCTTCAACAGTTTTCTTATTCTCTTAAGGCATACAGCAGGTTGACTTTTGGTAAGGAAGGCCATACCATAATTCTCTTTATACTTATGATGGAATATGCTCATAAATTGGTTGTAATTTAAGATATAGAGTTGATTTGGAAGTATTCTTAACAATTCAGATTAAGAAAGTATGATAAAAGAGATCAGAAAGCTTCTGTTGAGAGCTCTTGAGAAACTAACATATGACTTTTCTAGAATATTCTACTTTTACTGCTTCAGTTATATTACACAGTTTTTAATTTTGATTCCATAAGTTTCTAAATATTTACTTACCTAATTGTATATAGATCTGTTTCTACCACCATCACAAAAACAAAGTAACAAAGTATATTGAAAACATCTTGCTTTTGAAACAAAAAAAACTCAATAGTTTTAGTAAACAACTAATGATTGCGATAGTCCTTTTATTTTTGGTCATTTATATTAGGCAGTAAACATAAGACATGTAGTATGAGGGATTAGATGGGAAAAATCGAATGTAAGCTTCTTTTTATATCCTCCACAATTATTTCTTTTGAAAAACATTGATGTTTTCTCCTTATATATGAAATATATATAAAGTACCATGTGTCAGATAGGACCATGAGTCACATTTATATGCATCATCAGATAAGCTTCAAAGACACAGGCAGGGAAAGGCCTGGAATTTTTTAGATTAAGAGTAATCAGGAGTTAACCTGCTAAGGAAGGATTAGGAAATGAAAGCATTAGAGAGTTGAAGGCTAATAGCCATGCCAAAAATCTGGACTAAAATAGCTCAAGACATTTTAAATAGGATATACCATCAGCACAATTATAACCACAATAATAAACCAGAACCTTAGGCTTAAATTTTCTTACACAAGTCCAAATACCATCTTTGTTTAGATAAGACTAGTAGATACTTAATAAGGAAAGGGAAAGAATCTATTACTTTAATCCTAAACTTGATCTATAAAATGTTAATTGCTGTGGAAAAAAATAGAACCATCTCTGGCAAAATGACCTTATAGTTTAGTACAAAAGAATCCAATTGGGCATGTTAGGTCACACATGCACAAGCATACAAAAGGTACCACCCACATGCCATTCTAGGTAGAAATGTAATTACCACTGACAGGTAATAAAAGTTAGTAATTCAAGCAAACGAGAAGCAAAGTGTAAGAGCTGGAAAAGCAATGTAACTAATTAGATATGGTTGACTCTCTTCAACTGAATGCAGTTGTCGAAAATAATCATCTGGAGAGCAGTAAAAATAATTTAAAACATTTTTATTTTAAATATATCAAATCCTAGGAAAAAATTTTAAGCATGAAGGAATTACAAAAGTTTAACTAAAAGCCTTTACAATTCTCTAGGCAGCAACTGATAATAACAATAGAGAAGAGAGATATGTTTTTAAAATGTTTTCAGATAGAATCTATGAT